AGCTGACTCACTTAGATGCGAGTCCACCTTTTTGTCTTAGCTCAGAATAAGTTCTAAATGACAACTAATTATATGAATTTTTTTAATGATTGATGATTTTATAGATTCCTGAGTCATCAGCTTGAGCCTGTGCTCTACATTCTGGGGGTACAAAGTGCAGGAAACTGAGCTCTTGGGTGTCAACTATGGTTGCTGATGACAGTAGTTTTTTTTTCCCATTTGCCCTTTTCTCCTAACAGAAATAACAAAAACAAGCACAAAATAAATTCTCCTCTACCTGACTTTAGTTAGTTGGGTTTCAGGTATTAATGTAGAAAATTCATTTCTTTTAACAGATTTTCTCTCAAAATCAGGAGCAAGAAATAAATTGCTGTATACGAAGGCCCTCACTAAGAAAGCTGGCGGTGATGCCTAGTGCAGGAGCACCCAAGATCAAGGTACCCAGGAACACCTGCAAGGTGGTGAGTGAGGCTCCTGAGGCTGTAGGAGGATCAAAGTGCTTCCTGCACAGCCACGCAGATACTTTTTCAGCCCCTCCTGCCCCTCCTCTCCCCCCTGCACCTCCCACTCCCACCCAGGGCATTCTAAGTACAACACAACATACTAAGAATCACCCACATTTTGCCATTCTCTGTGGGAAACCACACATAGCTCATGCTTCTAATGGGTAAACAATTCAAAGTAAAATATGATTAGGCAAGAGAGATTTAATCTTCTGTACATGCAAGGGCATTGGATACTCGAGAAGATCCTTTAGGAATCATTCGTGCTTAAATATATGCACTGGAGTATTGCACCGCTGAAAAACAGGAATCAAAACAGAAAAAAGGTACTACTTTACTTATTTAAGCTTTTAGTCCCTCTGTTAACATTTTGGAATATACCTTTCCAGATGATTTTATGCATATATGCAAATCGACAAGGCAATCAAGTCATGTATAATAATGAATGCTTAAGGCAACAAAAGAACATTGGAGGCATTTCTGATATGAGTTTCTTTCACATTTGGATGAGGATGTAAATTCAACTCTAATAAATTATAGTGTATTGTAAAGATTAAACGGTCTTGCTGCCTGCGTTCTCTCCCTGGTCTGTTCCATCCTACACACAGCTGCCAGTCTAATCCTCCAAAACACCAATTTTCTCCTGCCACTTTTCAAAAACTAGCTTCCTGGCTTCCTGTTATCTAAAACTAGTTTCAAATGCTTTTGTCTGCCACTCCAGGCTCTCTGCATACTGTAGATCCTCCTGTTTCACTGCCCCTCATTTCTTCTACCGCCTGCCAGCCATGTGCTTTTGGGCTAGTTATTTAAAGACCCACCCTCCAATCGCAGTAGAGGGTCCATGCATCTCCTCAACCCATTGGCTCACTGTAGCAATGCCCTTCCAATCGCAGTAGAGGTTCCATGCATCTGTAGCAATGCCCTTCCAATCGCAGTAGAGGTTCCATGCATCTGGTCCACCCATTGGCTCACTGTAGCAATGCCCTTCCAATCGCAGTAGAGGTTCCATGCATCTGGTCCACCCATTGGCTCACTGCAGCAATGCCCTTCCAATTGCAGTAGAGGTTTCATGCATCTCCTCTACCCATTGGCTCACGGTAGCAATGCCCTGAAGGGCTGTTACTGAGTCATATGCCAACCGCTGGACTCGAATCAGGAGTCTGGAATTAGGGTGATGTTGCTACCACCTAATCACATGGACTGAGAGTGGAAACTGATTCTCCAGAAGGAAACTATTATGAGAAGGTAGATGGCAAAAGAGCATAGATCCACTACAACTGCCTTAAAGCACTCTGGACACAATTTAACAAATAGCTGTTCCAAAAATGCAGAGACACACGAAGTGAGTAACTCTTGCTGGGGTGTCTTCCATCACACACGATGCCATAAGGGGATAGCAAGCAAACTGAGCTGTAGGGAGTGTCCATTCTGATGCATAGGGAGTCTCCTGTGCTCCCAAATCCATACCCTACCATTGCAGTCCTAGGCAATTGGATACAGATCAGACCCTGTCAGACAGTCCAGGTTGCTGGTTTGATCTGTACACAATGTTCATACCCCTTGAAATAAGAAAGTATGTGGTTCAATAATATAACTTTCTATCTTACATTGAAACTCTTTACTGTAACACCCCAAATGATGTAAAATGAATAATAGCAACATATTCTGTGATGGAGCAAATATATTTTGAGTTGCTGTTTTCCCCATCTAAAGATAATCTTTCTGACCATTATCTGTTTGTGAAGACATGAGACCATCAGTTTTTCCCACACTTAAGGTCACAGCCTTGAAGCCATTAATTAAGTTCTGAGAATTTGCCTGACACTTCCGTGGGTGTCAGTCTGAGATAGTCACCATAAAGCCACTTTGCTTCCATATGTGTTCAGTGCCTTCCATCCACACACACCTCCTTCCTGGTTTAAACTTTTTCACTTCTCTAGTTCTACAGCAAAACAGTATTTGCAACTCCCTCTTGATCATAAACTTCTAAGAGTCAGGGACTGCTAGTTTTGTTTTCCCCGGGGTTTGGCACTTTGTTTGGTGTATGGGGAGGAGGTGGGTTACAAAATTGCATTAATGCATGCTATGAATCAATCTATTTCTCCATGCTATGTACAATCACTATAATAAGTATTGGTTCATTTCTTGTAACAAAGGCAATAGGAGCTTCTCTCAATAGACTAAATTCCAGGGAAAGAATGAAGGCCTGAAGATAGCTGGCTTATATGTGCCTACTATGTGACAAGCATTGGTTTAGGTATTTTTATATATACAAGATTTCAGTGAATTTTCACAATCCTGCAAACACAGACTCGGTTTTGGTTTCTTGCTTTCAGTAACACAACCTCATGGTGACAGGATGAGTCAAATCCAGCATGTCTGACTCCGTGCTTACCAAGTCCACTATCCTCACTTATGGGAAAAGGAAAATTGAAGATCACTCAAAGAGCAGTGAAACAACGGAAATATGAAATTTTACATGTAACTCCAAGATTCATGAGTATATGGGCACTATATACTCATAGAAAATGTTTCAAGAGTGGTTTGAAACACTCTTTGGGCAGCAATAGAGTAAAACCAAAGGACATAATGTGATAGCAAATTAATTGTACAGGAGCTCTTTGGGAACTCTGATAAATGAGAATCATTATTAAATTACTTTTTTTGTAAATTGCAATAAAAAGAAAAAAAGTCCCATTTGGATCTTACTTTAGAGTTCACAGAGCACACAGGAAAAATAAAGACAATGATGGGGGTGGATGCAATTTATAGGGAAGGAGACACAAAGAAATAAAATGAAAAGGAATAATAACCTATGTATAATACCTAATTCATCTTCCTTTAAAAAGTAATTTTAAAATGTATTTCTACCACCCATCTCCTATTTGATGTGATGAAGAATGGTGATAAAAAGATGAATTACAGTTCAGAGTTTTGAAAAGCAAACCAACTGTAGAGCAACGCTTGAGGTTGGGCTAATAACACGATAGCCTAACTCGCTATGTGGTTCCTGACACCCTACGTCAGAGATAATTCCACCTGCATGAGAAGTACAGAAAGAACCACAAACCAAACCTCAAAATGGACTCTAAGAGAAAATACCCTTTAAAAAATTTCCCTTCCTATGGAAAGGCAGGCCAACAGGAAGTTTGTCTCCCCACCCACAAATTTCCCACAGAACTTTCATATAGAGGGTTTTACTCTGGTTAGACACACCGCAAGTGTCTTCCCTGAACCTCTTATTCCTTCCATGGCATATTCCAGAGAATAAATGCCAAGCTCAAGATTGCTATGGGCCTAGGACGACCAAACAGATAGCGAGAGGCACACAGCAACCTCCTGGTCACCAAGTGGGTAAGTAGACATTTGCCGTTTTCACACATTACTCAGAGCTGAGTTTTTACCAAGAGATTGCTTATGATAATTTGCTGATATATTGTACACTAAATATTATTATTGTCTCTTTCAATGTAATTTTTACCTTTCTGTTCTTATGTGTGAAGGCAGATATGGATTTGAAACTCTTCAGAGATTCCTATTAAGTTTGAATTGGGCCTGGCAAGGTGGCTCATACCTGTAATCCCAGCACTTTGGGAGGCTGAGGCCAGAGGACTGCGTGAGGTCAGCAGTTCAAGGTTACAATGAGCTATGATTGTGCCACTGAACTCCAGCCTGGGCGACAGAGTGAGACCCCATCTCTAAAAAATAAATAAATTTAAATTGCCTGCAACCTTCCTATAATACTGTGATTAATGATAGGCTTAGTTAAAACACAGCAATCTTAAATATATTCTTAACCGATCGCAATCTGTGCTCACTTAAGTAACTGGTATAAAAAGCCCATTTAAATTAAACCTTAATCTTATAAAGGACCAATTCGGCCTTTCGGAGAGAACCCGAAGCTGTTTTTTTCGGGAGAGGCTGCGGGAGTGTGTATCGGACGTCTTCTTTCACTCCCTTTGTGTAGCCCTCGCCCTTGAGGTCATGTAATAACGAATGCCAAAGGAATATCAAAATAGCATTTGCGTGTGCCATCATGCAGCGGCGCGGTCTGCTTGCAGATCAGGAAATTGTTTGAGTATCAGGTCGCCGGCGGGCATCTCAGCCCAGACCTGTGCGCGCAGACTGCTGGTGTCCCAGCTCGGGGCGCGATCCGGGAGCCGGGGAGGCGACCCGCGGCTGCAGCCGTTTGTAAAGGCCAGTCACTCCCTCGCTGTCCCTCCGGGGCTGCAGTCGCAAGAGCCCCGTGGTGGGACTTGTGCGGGGGGACGTGGGCTCGGGCGGGTCGCGCGCTCCGGTGCCGGGGACGCCCGACACTCCCCCCCCACCCCGGCCCGGGGCCGCAGCACCTCGGCCCGCCTCGCGCCTCTGCAGGGAGGGACGGAGGGACGCGCGGCGAAGGGGCTTTGCCCGTTGCCAAAGCAGGAAGTGAGCACGAGGGAGAAGCGGCGGAGACCCGGGAGGAGGAGGAGGAGGAGGAGGAGGAGCAGGGGCGCGTCGGAACCGCGGGACTTCTCATCCCAGCGGTCCCTCTGTCCTCCCCGGTCCCCGAGGCCGCCCAGCCGTGCTCTGGCGCTCGTCTGCTCCCACCCTGCCCCCATGGCTTCGCCAGACGACGCTCTGGGCGCAGGTAAGGCGACACCGCGCCGCGCCCGCACCCGGAGCGGGGACCGCGGGCCGGGAGCCCTGGAGGTGCCCGTGACTGCGGCAGGGCTGTCGGGGCCGAGCCTCGGAGACTCCCGAGGGGCACCCGGGGACCCCCCGGACCCCAGCGCCAGACCCCGGGCCGCGCGGGGCCCCCAGCTGCACCCCCGCGGCGGCTGCTGCTCACGGCTCGGCGCGCTCGCCCCGCGCGCTGCCCCCCGCGGTCCCCACGCGCGCCGGGGACGCGCCTTCCCCCCTCCCGCGCTGTGGCCCCAGCGCTTTTGTTCTGGACCCGGGATGCCAGGTTGAGGCAAGTTCGGCAAACTTCTGGCAGAAAGGGGCGCAAGGGGGTGGATTTCTTTTTCTCCTCCTGGGCTCTCCCTTTCTCCCTGCTCACACGCCTCTCATTTCTCCTCTCTTCTCACTTCGCTTGACTGCGTGGGTTTGGTTTTCTAAATACTGGCCCAAGGTAGTTCATCGGCTTGTGTCCACAGAGCCACGAGGCCGAGCCCACCTGTGGGACCCCGCCTCTCATTGGAATGGCCTCTAGTTCTGTCCTCACTTTAAAATACCGCGTGTTTGTACCCGAGGCCGGAATCTAGATTTTTCTTTATTCTCTCACCTGAATTTAAAGTCCTCAGGATTCGCTTTCCAGGAATTCTTTTTCTCTGCTCTCCCATAACCTAGGCCTTAACCTCAGTGGATGTTTTTTGAACACACGAATGAATGAATGATACATCCCCCAGCGTACACGGCGACTTTATCTGGTTTTGTTGAGGTTGGAAACACTGAGGAGAGTTACACAGAATCTGACGTAATTGCTTAGATAAACGTGTTTCCTATTTCATTTCTTGAGCTGGGCAGGGAGAGAGCTAGAATGTTCCATCCTTAATCTGTGGCTTGAGCAGTTAGAAGTAGACCGTGTGTCTGGAGGTGGTCAGAAGACCCTTCAACCAAGTTGGCATTGTGATGTGCTGGGTTTGGAGGAGTTTCCTGGAGATTTTAAAGAAAGATCTAAATTCTTCTTTATGTGCGGGATGATAAATTTTGTATCAGTTGGAGATGGAGAATAAATTGTCTGGATATCCTTCCCCTCCCCCCAGACCTATGGTTTGGAAAAACTGAAGGGGAAATAAAGGGAGAAACCCTCCTACTTCCCCATCCCACTCCCACTCCCCTGCACTTCCTTTTCGGAGAACTTAATTAACAAGGTGCCAAGAGGTATTTTAGGCTAGATTTCACTAATAGTGGCCTCAGGTCTCATGAAATGATGATAGTTGGGAGTGAGGGATACACTGAATGGGGATAAATGTAAAATCTGCTTGAGCCCTCTGCAGTCAATAGCACCAGAGAAGGTGGGGGCTGGGAAACACAGTTTAGCCATGACATGAGTGTATAAAAAGCCTCAGTGAGTCACTGGTGTGATGAGGCCACCAGCGGGTCTACTATGGTCTTAGGTGACAGTAATAGCAGTGTAGGCTCCGGAATCCCAGTGATAGTACTCGCACTCTGCTTGGCCCAGCCAAAACGGCTGTGCACAACCTGCAATAAATGGCCAACCTGAAACAAAGGAACTTCGAAATCCCAGCACGTGTGGAATGAGGAGAGGACAGAGGATTTGATGACAAGAGGGCATGACATGGAAGAATCCATCTCTCGGACTTTCAGAGGTAGAACCCAAACCTGTAGGTGAAATCTTTAGAGAGAGATGGATTTGGGCTTCCCACAAAGAGGAGGGAGGCCTCCTGCGGTTGAGAGCTCCCTGCCACTCAACAGAGGATGCTGAAGAACATGGGCATCTGAAAGATGGTCCAAGTGTCCATTCCTACTCGGAATTCTGTCAATAAAACAAGGATTCCTCCATTTAAACACACACACACACACACACACACACACACACCAATTTACCCTTTTCTAACGTTTCATTTCCTCACCCCACAGTGCACACTCACCTATTCCTTCCGTTTCTGTAATGAAAGCACAGATGGTGCCAATATCTGGAACTTCTCAAATGGAATGTTCACTTCACCCCAGGCCAAGTTACCATATTCTTTTGCCTGATTTCCTACACTGACCTCCCAACTGGTGTTTTCACACCCATTCTTGCCTTCTGGCAACCTATTCTCCAAAGGGTGGCCAGAGTGATCTTTTAAAAATAAATCAGATCTTGTCACTCCTCTGCTTTGAACCCTGTACTGGTTTTGCAGCACTTTCCAGCAGTCCTCGGTCCTTACGTGGTGTCCACACTGTGTGTGACCAGTCCCTACCTATTCCTTCAACCACCTCACGCGGTTCCCGGTTTGGCCCCTGCTCTCAGCATCCAGCCACACTGCCTCCTCTCATTTCCTTGAAAGCCCTTGCACCCTCCTACCTCCTGGCCTTTGCGCAGGCTGTTCCTGCTACCTGGAAGGTCCCTCCACTCCTCCCCCAACCCCATCTCCTGCCCACTCTGTTACCTCCTACTTGTCCTCAGATTTCAGCTCAAAGGTGACCCAGATCCAGCCCCATGTATACACTCTCGGCACATCCTGTACCTTTCCTTTCTGACACATTTCACAGTTTCTAGTTGTGATTATTTGGCCAATGTCACCCCCCGTCATTAGATGGTAAGCTCCTTGATAGAGTCCACGTCAGTTTGGCATGGCAGTTTGTCTCTCACACGTAGCACAGTACTCGGCACATAATTAGCCCTGGATAAATACTTATTGCTTCAGTGAATGAATTAAGGATATAAAATTTAACCACATGTGCTTCACACTGTGGAGAGAGAAAAGCTCTGCCCATTTAGGCATCTTAGGAACTTAGTCATCAAGTTAGGTGTATAAACTAAGTCTACCTTGTAAAGTTAAAAAAAAAGTTTGCATATCCACATGCATGTAATAAAGGTATATATGCTATTATACTATATTATGAGGTTAATTTAAAAAGCAACTTTTGACAATGAGAAAATTCGCAAGACTGTTGAGGTCACATGGAAGGAAAACAGTCATACTGATTACACTGCAGCCAGCACGCTCTAGCTCTCCCACTAAGCAGCAAGCTAACACTGAGTGGGCCAGAATCAAATTTGTGTTCATAAAGATAACAGAGACAGAAACAAAGAATGAGGCTTTGAAGGTCTGGGTTAAAGGTGGTGCGATTGGTTGCTTTGTGGCAATGAGCTAAGCGCCTGTGGCCACAGAGCACAGCAGTGCACGCTCTTCCTTTGTTCTGGGATCTTCTTGGCACCACACAGCAGGACTGTTTCCTGGGAGTTGTGGCCACCTGCTCAGGATGCCCCCTGTGGTGGCATCTCACCCTCTCCTGCCCCTGCTGTGGGTGTAGATGAGCCCAAGGTGGCAACCTGCCCTCCAGTGGCACCGGGGGCAGTACCCAGGACTACAGGGTGAACCACTTCCAGGAGCACCAGTGGCTGCAAAGCTGCACCAGCCCGTTCTTTCTGCAAGTGACCAAAGAGAGGGGTGGCATCTGAGGCTTTCCCTTCTCCCTTCTTCTCTCCTTCCCCTCCCTGTGGGTTTTTCCAATGCTCGCTTCATTTCTCTTCCTTTCTTATAACGCCTCCGCTTTCTAAGTTTTCTTCTCTCTACTGGAGTACCCCCCCAGTCACGTCCCTTCGTTTCGCGTCTTCCCCCCTCCTCTCCTGCCCTCCTCTGCGTGCTCCCCCTCAGTGGGCTGGCTTCATGCTCCGCCTCCTTGCAGAGAAGTTGCTGTGGGAATGTACTTCCTTGGTCCCTGCCCTTTCCCAGCTTGTTCAGCCCCTGCTCCGAGGTCTGAGGGTGGCGGAGTGGGGTGGACAGAGAAGAAGCCAAAGCAAACAGGGTGTCAGCACCACCTCCCCGCATTCCTGCGGCTCTGAGCCTGTTGTAACCCTGAGTGTGGCTCCGAACGCCAGGGCTTCTTTCTCACCAGTAATGAAAGCACCGGTGGGTCAAAAGAAAAGCTGTGCTACCACCACCACAACAAATAACAAATGAAAAATAAATTAACTCTGCAATCACATGTTCAAAGACTTGTCTTCGGTTCGCCACTAGAAAGCACAAAGGGGCCCCGCTCTTCTGTCTCCTGGGCTTAGGAAAGCCAGAAGGCCCTGCCACGCTTCCTTCTTTGTCTTCTCTGAAAGGACATCTGTAGAGAAGATGTTTGAACTTCCTCTGAGAGCCTGTCTCTAGGAACTATTGACCTCTGTCTAATGTGTCTAATAAAGGGAGCCGGCAGAAAGTGACATGCAGTCCTTGGGCACCCACCAGTGTCTGTTTCTTGCACTGTGCTTCTTCTGAATCCAGAAGATTCCTTCTGGAGAGGCTGCTGGAGGCAGTACCTCGTTCCCTGCTGCTCCTTAAGAGGTCCTGATTCAGTAAATGATGAGATTTGGGGCTTTGAGTTAAGGAGGAGTAGATGAGATTTTGGATTTAGAGTGGATGCTGGGATGATTTAGGATTCTGGAGTGTTGGGATGGGGCGAATGTATTCTGCATGTGAGAAGGACATGAATTTGAGGGGGGCCAGAGAGTGGATCATTATGGGTTGATTTGTGTCCTCCCAAACAGAGATGTTGGAGTCCTAACCCACAATACCTCAGAAAGTGACCTGATTTGGGGACAGTGTCTTTTTGGAGATAATTGAATCAAAGTGAGTCAATTAGTACAATGAGTAGGTGCTATTCCAGTGGCTGGTGGCCATGTAAAAAGGGGGAAATTTGGACACAGAAATACCTCAAAGAGTCTGTCAGGTGGTTGGTGCATGAGCCACTTCTAGAACTTGATGGGCTGGAAAACAGACAGATTCTGGAACCAGAAATTTCCAGATACAGATTCTGGCCTTTTCACTTAACCCTGTGAGCTTGAGCACTCAATATGTAAAAATAGGGGGGTACTCAATAACTTTCTTGGGGTTAGTGTCAGGCTTAACCGAGACTGCGTCTTAACCATACAGCACAGAGCAGACCCCAGGGAAGCGGGAGGTCCAGCTGTTACTCAACACACTGACTGCCATGGGAGTTGTATTGAACTCGGGCTAGTTTTGAGCCCGGGGCCTCATGAAGCAAAACCCTGCATGCTGTTGGTTCGTGAAAATCTTGATGTTCTTATTGTTACAATTAATATTGACAATTTAATGCTAAAAATGTGGATTGGGTTGCATATAACTCACACATGGAAAAACAATAGAAAATAACAGATTAGAAAGGATCATTTTGTTTTAAGAAAACATCTTGGCCCCAGGGAAATTTTTTTTTTTTCCTAGTGTGGCAGTCAATGTGTTAAAGTCAAAGTGCCGTGAACTTTCAACCTGGAGATGCTCTTTGACCTGTATGGCTACTACTATTCCCCACTCATGGACTTTTAAAGCAGGAAGGGGACATAGAGGCTCTCTGTTTGCCCGCTAATATTATAGGTTGGGGACTTAGGGCCCATGGAAACAAAATAACGGTGCTTTCGTCTGAGGACTCTGAGAGCCAGGCCCCTGCTGCATCAGTCCACCAGGTTTCTCTCATGCCTTTTGGACAACTCACCAGAAGACACTCCCAGGAATTAAATATCATTCTCACTGCCATCAGAGGGATGCCTATTAGTCAGTTTCCAGCTAATTTGGGGTAGAGTCACTGATCCGGGGGCGTCCGGGCACCTCTGGGAGAAAAGCACAGCTGGGAGCAGGGGGAGGGCCCCCACCTGCCCTGGAGGAGCCGCTGGGCTTGCTCCTCTGGGCTCACACGGCACCGCCTTCTGTTTGGGGCTCCTTTGTGCCCCTCCTCCCATCAGATACCAGGGCCTTGCCTGGGGGCTCGGCCTGCTGTTCCCTGGGACTTATAAAAACATACATTTTAAAGCTTCTAAATAAACTGTTTGATTTTGTACTTTATAGGATTGTAAACATGCAACTCCAAGGGCTCTAAGAAAGACTTCAGGACAACTTTCTACTTCTAGATCAGTCTCAAATAACCAGGATCAGCCCTCCTCCACATAACTTCCTTGGCACACAAAAATCTGGGCCTGTGAGAACAAAAGCAGTTTGGCAGGATCTGAAACAAATGCCAGGGCTAAGGCGCAGTAGCAGATCCAGCGCATGGGGCCGCGGTGTGCCTGGGTCTCTGAGCTCGCTTGGCAGTGACACGTACAGAAGAACTTAATCCACAGCTTCATACGAGGCAAAGGCCAACACGGAACCATTAGAATGAAAATAATAACAGACCTGAAAATGCCTCTAATACTAGTTCTAAACACTCTCACCTCATTGTTGTTCTTCAGAAAACAAACAAACAAAACCTAAATTCTACATTCTTCCCTTCTTTTTTTTTTTTTTTTTGAGACAGAGTCTGGCTCTTTTGCCCTGGCTAGAGTGCCGTGGCGTCAGCCTGGCTCACAGCAACCTCAAACTCCTGGGCTCAAGTGATCCTACTGCCTCAGCCTCCCGAGTAGCCAGGACTACAGGCATGCGCCACCATGCCCGGCTAATTTTTTCTATATATATATATATATTTTTAGTTGTCCAGATCATTTCTTTCTATTTTTTTAGTAGAGACGGGGGGTCTCACTCTTGCTCAGGCTGGTCTCAAACTCCTGACCTTGAGCGATTCACCCGCCTCAGCCTCCCAGAGTGCTAGGATTATAGGCGTGAGCCATGCGCCCGGCCCATTCTTCCCTTCTTAAATTCCATTTATTCTCAGAGATGTCAGACCAAAGCGAGACTTTGGCCTCCTGGCCTTTGCTGTCTTCTGCCTGTATCTTGCTGTTAGCCTCATACCCCCTGAGATGTGCCAGTTATATCACAGAACTCGGTCACAGTCTGAGGGGGTAGAAATTCATCCAGCCAACCCGGCGGTTAGCTGAGTGTGGAAACCAGAGACCTGGGACTCCTCCTGTTGCAGAGGGATAGCCCAGGGCTTAGAGGGCGCACTTAACTGGCCCAAGGTCACAGCACTAGACTTGTTCAAGGCCAGAGTGCTAGCTGGAGTGCTGTGTTCCTTGTAACTGCCCCGTGTGCGTCCTCACTGCTGCTTTCGGTGTGATTCTGCCTTTCTCAGCACTCTCCTGCATTTACCTCCTCTTTTGTGTCTTTTTCTTTTTCCTTCCTATCATACTAATTTTTCTGTAGGAAGCAGGATGAACTTGTCACAGACACAGCGGGCGGTGTCTGCACAGGATGATGTCAGGGGCATTTAGAAACCGCCAGCCTCACCCCACCCCACCCCCACGCCAGCACTCGAATCTCTGGCAGCCCATTTACCTGGAATTCCATGTGTTGATACCTGTTAACATGCCACAGCCCTGATGGGATCACATTTTAAAGTGGTGTCATCCAGGTACACTTGAGTGAAATATTTGAGACTAGGCTTTGAAAGGAGGGAAGAAGAGACTTGAGACTACTTCGTGGTGGCTTCTACTACCCCTGCCCAACCAAGAGCCAGAATGTGAGGACAGAAAGGAAAACTAGAACACCGAATGCAGGTGTGTCTGGCTATGAAGTATGGTCATGCATCACTGAAGACAGGGCTATGTTCAGAGAAAGGCGTTGTTAGACAATTGCATCGGTGTGCAAACATCACAGAGTGTACTTGCACAAACCTAGATGGGACAGCCCACTACACACCTAGGCTATATGGGACAGCCTATTGCTCCTAGGCTACAAGTCTGTACAGCATGTGACAGTACTGAATACTGCAGGCAATTGTAACATAATGATAAGTATTTGTGTATCCAAACATATCTGAACATAGAAAAGGTACAGTAAAAATAGGGTATTATAATCTTATGGGGCTATGGTCCTATACATGGTGTGTTATAGGACTGTATACTAATGCGTCATGTTCTCTGTCATCTTGAGGACTTTGCCTATGCTATTCCCTCTGCTTAGAATGCTTTTCCCTCCCCAACCCCTCCTCCTGGCTGTCTTCAACTCATCCTCCAGACTCAGATATCAATTCCTCTGCGGGCGCTTCTGCAGCCCCTCCCCCCCTCCCCACAGCGCACCCCCGGCTGGGTATGTGCTCTTCCTCTGTTTCCATGTCATTCCACTGCCTTGACTCTAAGGGCTCTGCGTGTAACTACCTGTAGCTCAGGGTGGTGTTAGCAACACAATTTGTCTTTTATTTTCTTTCCATCAATTTATATCCAAATCTGAGTCTGTATTCCACTGGGTTGGCTGGAAATTCCATTTCAATCCAATTGGACCCCTCCCTGCCTCCTTAGGGTCACCAGGAATCTGAGAGGCTTACGTGGTGTTAGGAAAACTAGGAAAGGATCTTGAATATTTAGTGCGTCAGGTAGGGCAATGACGTCTCATTGTCCAAGCCTGAGAAGTCCTTTGAGAGCCAGCAGGTGCTCCCAGGACCTCGTGCCTAGTCCACGGTATGTAGTATGTACTTGATGAGAATGTGGATAAAAAGTAAATGTTGAATCTTAGCTGGCTCATGGCTGCCACTTAGGGTTTTGCAGGTTGTGCACTGCACAAATCTAGAGGATCCCACTCAAACAGATTTGACTATTTCCTGAGACAGCTTTCTGGCAGATGTCTTGTAAAGCATCTTGGAGAGGGAGAGCTTTTTTCTAATTTGTACAAATTCATGTGATCTAGGCCTTCCCTGAGGCTTGTACCTTTTTCTGTATTTCCTCATTAAATTCCTTGCCTGCAACAAGTGGTAAAGCGTGAGAAACAGAATATTGAGAAATCCAGATCACTTTTTGCTTGATAAAAATACTGTGAGATACTGTTGACCTTATTAATCCTCGTGAGCCACACTCAGAAGCTTAGTAAAAATGAGTTGCAGAAGAGTAGGAAATCAGGAAAGAGGCAGATTCAGAATTAAATGATTCCTGCCCCAAGTTATGTCCAATTCATCATGCAAAAGAGTGGCTAGTATCATGCCTGCATGAATTGTGGTTGTTTGCCACTCTCTGAGTATTTGTAGAAATTTATAAGCAACCCCTTCTAAAACGTGGTGGTTTTATTTTTACGAAGTGTCTTTTTTTTAATCTCTTTCTTGCTGTAATCTGAGCGTGTTCCTCATTTTGTCTCCACTAATAATTGCAAGTAAGGTTTTCTCCAACCTTGCTAAACTAGCTTGTGTCTATATGAGGACTCATTTGTGCTTTTAAATAAAAGCAGATACTCTCCATTTGGGTTTTTGTTTTGTTTTTTACAGATCCTATGGCAAAGGAGCCAGTGGAAGACACAGACCCTAGCACTTTATCCTTTAACATGGTAGGTTACAAATTTGACACTCATGGTGATGACTCTCGTTTTCCTTTTCCTTCGTTGTTTCTTTACGTTTTTATTACTCAGTGTTTACATGAGGACCAGAAACCCCAAAGTAAGATTCTCCTAGGATAAACTGCTTTATCTTGGTATTCTCTGTGGTGATAATGAACTTTAGGTTTCTCTGGGTTAAAAAGGGTCTTAGATTCTGTTCTCTCTTTGCACACCCCGGAAGTGATCTTAGATTATGTGAGATCTTTGTCTACTTGCCTACTTTTAATACCGTTGATCTATACTCACTGAGCGGCCTCTCTGCCCGACGGGCACACACGACCTGATTACTCTGTTATTGCAGTTAATCCCAGAAGCTGGCTTCTGAGCCCCGGTCCTGCCCCCCCATAACCACTCTGTGATGTGTTTCCTGCTTTAAGATTTATCAAAGATTTCACATACGCTGCTTTTCAACCTCCGAAGATCCTGTGAGATAGTGAGGCAGGTATTTTTATCCCTCTTCTACTGGTGAGGAAATGGCAGTTCACTGCTGTGCATACAGTCGCCTAGAGGGGACGGACTAGCTTCCTTTCTGCCCAGCCCTGCTTCTTACGTGGGACCAAATCAGTGCCCTGGACAGCACTGCGTGTGTTACCATGCAGATAGCGTAAGACACATCCCTTTTGTTCCAGATATTTGGAGGACAGGCTCTGCAGAGTCATGGAAAGTTCTGGTTAACTAAAGTGACATAAAATACATTTCATATAATTAAATTAAATGTCTTTAAATCTGGAGTGTCTTGAAGGCCGACGGTGTTTGTTTACCTGTCCTTTAATTACCACTGGACAGTTTGGTAAGTATGGATGGCTTAGGGGACCAAGGTTTGACGTACGGAGGGAATTAATATTAAAAAATTCTCTGTCCTTTAACTCTCATGACAATGGAACGAACAGCCTTGTGGTCGTGACTTATGGTTGCTCAGGGGTAGTCTGTTACTAAAGCCTTTCTTTGGTTTCTATAAAGTGTTACTCAGGTGGCCCTTTCTTTTCCCTTTCCATTGCCCCCACGGTGACTATCCAGGTCTCCCGGTAGCATCGTCTCCCTCCCTCGGGGCCATTCTCCTTCCTCTCCCTCCCTCGGGGCCATTCTCCTTACTGCTCACCTCGGGTCTGGGCTACCTCTAATCACGTCTCCACACTGGGGACAAAGGGATCTTTCCAAAGCTTCCCTGTTATTAGTTTCTCTGGGCTGTCGTAAAAAATACCCTAGGCTGTGTGGCTTAAGCAACAGAAATGTATTCCCTCCCGGTTCTTCTGGAGGTGGGAAGCTTGAAGTCAAGGTGTTGACACAGCTGTGCTTCCTCCATAGGGAAGCATCCTTGTCCTTGTCTCTTCTCGATTCTGGTGGTTGCCAGCAGTCCTGGGTGTCCTTGGCTTGAAGCTGCATCACTCCATTCCCTGCCTTCATCGGCACGTGGCCATCTTCTCCCTGGGTGTCCGTGTCTCTCCCCTTCTTCTAAGTCATGTTGGGTTAAGGGCCTACCTGACTCCAGCGTGACGTCATCGTAAGTGAACTATTCATCATTAGATCTGTAAGACACTATTTCCAAATAAGGTCACATTCTGAAGTACTGGGGGTTAGGACTTCAACATGTCTGTTTTGGGAGACTGAATTCAACCCCTAACATTCCCACTGTGTGCAGGATTAAGTACATACTCCCTGATGTGGCAAATGAGGTCCTCCTTGATCTTATCTCAGCATTTACCGCTCACCTGATAAGCCAGTCATGTAGCTATTTGCTGCTACTTAAATACTCCATGTCCTCTCACCTTCCCAGGATATCAGTAGCGCTGTTCCCTCCGTCAAGGACAATCACCCTGCTTCCTCACCTGGTGAGCCTCTATGCATCCTCCCATCTCAACTCAAGTGATCTATGAAGCCTTCCTTGCCTTAGGACCTACAGCTGCTCCCTTCTTCATAGCGAAATCCCAACGTGTCATTGCACTGAATTGTAATTGTCTGCTTGTCTGACTTCCCACAAGACTGTGCTGGCCATCTTCCCATGTGCAGAGCTGGGCACAACGCAGGTAGCAGCAGATGCTTGATGAACCAAGCTTCCCAAGAACCTAGAACAGCATCCCACCTAAATCCCTTCGCTGACTTTCATGGTCTTTCTTGGAAACTGCTTCCATCATTTCTTATCCAACCCTGCCTTCCTCCGTCCTTCTCCAACAGACACCTCTGCTTCAGGCTGATGGATCTTTTATACCTGCAGCTCTTCCAGCCACTTGGCCTCTGCTCCTGCTGTGTCCGCCATCTGCAACCAGCTTGCTCCTTCCTCTCGGTTCTTCCAAGTCGAGGGCATCCTCTCGGCTTAGCTCGAGTGTCAGTTGTTCTAGGAGCCCTGTACTTGCTCCAGCCTGTGTGTTCACCCGTGCAGACTTTCAGTGGATGTTAACTTAACACTGCGTCAAAATCTAGAGATGCAAAGATTATGGTCTCATCTCTGGAAAAACTCACAGTGTATCTGAGGAAATAGACAAGTACTTTTAAAAACAGACCGATGAAGTATTATAGCACAGGTATGTGTTCCCTGCTCTTGGGAGTAGAGCAATAAGAAGAACTAATTTAGTCTTGGATAGAACTACTTGACTATGAAATTTTCTGTGTTGATTGATTTTTATTTACTTATTTATTTTCATTGGGAAGTGGTTGGAGGCTTTTAGAGTTTCTGAAACCTTACCGCCCTGCTCCAAAGAAACGCCAAGGAAAAGGCATTTAAAACAAAACCCTCCACATTTGTTTATTTTTCTCGTCTGTCAAAGGAAGACATGGGTGAGACCTAGTGGAAATATGCAAGATATAATTTTGTTCAGGCTGGAGGATGGGCCGAGCGTAGAGTCGGAGCCAAGCAGGACTTAGGGGACAGGCTTGGGAAACTGGGCACATTCTCACTCCTCGCATGAATGTCTTCAGAGAATGGCTACATTGTTTAATCTGAAATAAGTTTCCAGAATATTAGAAACCCACATATAAGAACAAATTAAAATATGTGTGATTGTAAGAGCATCTGCTAATTTGAATTCCCTATGACAGTATTACCCTCAACTAATGCACTGAGGAGCTGTTCATAACTGTACATAATTGCTAACGGATTTTTAGATCTGTGTGCAATCAACAAGACAGTTATCTTTTGAGTCCTATCCTATTCAACTCAGGACAGAGCTCTGTAATAACAAGTATTGCCCAGAACACATGCTTATTGACCCAAAGGACTGTCACAGAAATGATGAGAAGAAATGGGTCTATCCTTATCATTTATGAAAACAAATTCTTCTCAATTTCAAACTGCAGGAGACCAGCACTGCAGAAAAGAGCGGAAGTGTGGTTTAGTGGTTAGAGCTGAGGAAATCTGGAAGACTTATTCTATTTCATCTTCCAGCATTAACTTCCTGTAGACCTTGATTTCATGATTATCAGTTGAGAATAAAAACCATCAATGGATCATGCCAACTGGATAAGTTTGAGGCTAAACATTTCCAAGGTTTTTCATTGAAATCATGACTTTCCCAAGACAAAGCTTTCTTTTCACTTTGATCTTAGAATTGACTATGGCATTTAAAAATAACTCTTCTCTTTTGTTGCTTTCAACAGTCAGACAAATATCCCATTCAAGATACGGGACTCCCTAAAGGTATGTACAGGTAATATAACTACTTGAACTTGTGATTATTTTAATAACTTGAACAAAGCACTAGTCAAAGTCATTTTTCATTAAAACTGTAAAACAGAAACATGCCGATAATTTAATTCATGATTTGTTACATGATTATCTTAGAAATGAACTTTCTTAGTAAAATCTGCAAATTATTTCATGACAAATCATACATTAAGTTCCTAACAGGGGCTGAGTGCAGTGGCTCACTCCTGTAATCCCAGCACTCTGGGAGGCTGAGGCAGGAGGATTGCTTGAGGTCAGGAGTTCAAGACTTGCCTGAGCAAGAACAAGACCACGTCTCTACAAAAAATAGAAAAATTAGCCTGGCATGGTGGTGCAAGGCTGTGTTCCATTGTGAAGGCCAAGCTGCTGCTTGTCACAGTGGTGCATCTACTGTGTATTCTGGTGACAGCCCAGAGATGAGGGGTGGGGATGGGTGAGGGTGGAGACAACAGTCTGATCTGACCAGCATCAGAGATGGCAGGGGCATCTGGCTGCCTGGTCCCTGTGACAGGCAGGCTGCCCGGTCCCTGTGACAGGCAGGCTGCCCAGCACACTCTGACACGGGTTTCCCCAGTGGTTCCTGTGGTAGTGGGTGATCGTAGGGAGCTCCCCGCCAGGGCCAGCCTGTGGTTAAGTCCAGAGTTTGACCAAAGCTCTCTTCCTACTTCCTCCCTACCCCAGACTCTTCTCCCTGCTCCCTGAAATGACACCATTAGAGAGTCATTCCTTTTCTGTCCTGTGCCTGTCCCTGGAGTGGTAGTTGTGTAGGGAAAAGAGGCTGAGGCCAGGTTTGAGTCCAAACCCTGGCTGTACTAGGGGAGGCTTCTGGCAAGCTCTCTTCCCTTTGCCCTCTCCACGAATGACCTTTAAGTCTTCTGCATCCGCCGCTCTGGGACTCTCCATTTCGGCAGGAAAGCAGAAGGTAACAGGACAGATCAGAGGCAGTCTTGGGCAGTGGTCCTTAGACTTCAATGTGAAGAAGCATCATCACGGGAGCATATTTAAAATGCAGATCCTGGGCCCCACTGCCCCCAAAGTCATGATTTGGTTGATCTGGGATTAGGCCCAAGAATCTGCCTTTTAACTCATACCTGTGTGGTTGGGATGCAGACGCCACTTTGAGAACCTGCCTAGGAGGCTTCAAGGCAACAGCAGCTCAACTGCCTGGCTCTGAGTGGCCTCAGCAAGTGACTTCAGGTCTCAGGGTCTCACTTCTCTCATCAGCACAGTGGGAGGACAAGGTTAGCATCTACCTCCCAGGTGCTCGTGAGAATTCGACGAAATGAGTCTAGAATGGTGCCTGGCACACATGAGCACCAGACAGGGGTGGAGGGAAATCTGGCCAAAGAATTGTGAAAAACCATGGTGCAAGCTGGTTCAAGATTTTATTTTTTTAATCACCCTTGAATATGATTTCCTGTTTTGAACTAAAAAGATTGTTGCTTAGCAATCTGATAGTACAGTAACTTACAATTTAAGTTTCCCCTAGAATTTGAGTTCTACAAAACCTTAATTAAAACTGTTATGAGTTTGCAAGTCACATGACTGAAAACCATACCCTAGACCATTCCTTTGTCTTTAGTCATGGTGAACAGTATTTTTTTTCCTTAGATCAAGGGACAGACTGGACTGAACAGTATTATTAAGCGCACAATTTGCTATCTCTAAATAAATACATCATTTTATACGTAAATGAACCATGGCTAGAAGTTTAAAAACTTACTCCAGCATTTGCATTTAATAATATAACAATTTAATGTCTGCTAGCATTTTTCTTTAACACCACTAATAGAGCCAGTACCATCATTAGACATTTATGGTAATTTTCTCATTAAAGTTGTTTTTGGGGGAAAGAAAATCCACATGAATTAGCAAAGAGACTAAGTACAAACTAGGACCCCAACATTTAAGTGAGTTTTAGTGGGGTCAACTTTACTTAATAGAGGAATCATTTTTAATTAATGTTAATTTCTATATGGTTAAAAAGTCTTCAAAATCTATTTTCTTAAGCAGATTAAGTATATTTCACAAAATCTTTTTTATGCTGCTATTATATTCCTACTTTATTCATGGAGCGTATAAAGCTATACTTTAACATGGGCCAAACTCGAGTGGTTTTGAATAATCTGGTTTTAATAATCAGCTGAGGAAATGTAGTGTCATTTTCAGTGATAAGCATCTTTTTTTTTTTTTAGGTGAAATGTGTTAATATTATCACTTTTTTCTCATCGGGGACAAATGCATAGCTTCCACCTGAGTCAGCCACTCCCTGAATGTAGAGAGTTCAGGGGGTTCATTAGTGGGGCCTCTTTTCTGATAGCTGTTCAGAGTCTGCAGATACTAGAGTCAGGACTAACATGAGATTGTGGTGTGTTTTACATCACGTAATTCCCAATATCTCATGGAAGCTGCGTGCTTGAGTATTCTTAAGGGGATGTGACTCTTCACATTTTGAGAGAAAAGTGTGTTTGGAAAAAGAATTTTGATTTTTTGAGCCACTCTTAGTGGGAGAAAATTGCACATAGAAGTACTCACATCGATCAATCAAGATTTTAGCATCTTCGTTTTCTCTAGCGTTCCTGCTTTTTTCTTTTATTGTTCAAAAAATGGTATAATCAATTTAAAAGTTAAAGAGAAATAAAGTAGACTGATTCTACTGTTAAGAATCTTGAGGAATTTGAACTTAAGCATAGATACGATTTGGGGGACCTTTTAGAACAATTTGTCAATTAAATGTTAGAAGTAGTAGTTTAGTTTGAACACGTGGAGGGAAAATAAGCAAGTACTAAGGAAATCACTAAATAATTCAAAAGTAAAAATCTCTCCCCTAGAACTAGCAAGCCAATACATTGTATTTTATGTGATTTTCCGCCTTACAGATTGCCAGTGACGTCTTGTTAAAAAGTTTCCCTCTTCTAGCAGGAAACTAACCATCCCTCCCACCTGCATTATTCGCTACATGTCCTCATCCTGTTTGTTCCATAAATACACTTCCAACCTCTTGGGAATCTTTTGTTACAGTAAACCAAAAATCACCACCCCTCACCCCAACTATGACAAGAATATAAAGGTGACTATTCTCCAAGAATTTTTTTTCTTTTGTGTATAAGAGGGCAGAGGGGAGAGAGAGGGATAGGACCACAGGAGCATTTGGGGTACCATATAAGAAAAATGGCTGTTAAATTCAAGTTCTCGTATTGGGGGTAAAAGAAAAAAAACACTTTAAAGAAACTGAGCTGACAATGATGACATTGTGAGAATTAGTTTGGCTGAAATCATATGCTCATGACTTTTTGCTGTGAAGACTCATGCTTTAGCGTGTATCAGAATTATGGAGGGCACCTGTAGTCCCAGCTACCCAGGAGGATTGTGTGTTTGAGCCCAGCCTGGACAATGTAGTGAGACCCCTGTCTCCAAACGCAAGAATCATGTGGGGTGCATGTTAACAATGCAGATTGCTGGGCCCCCTGAAATTCCAGTAGGGGGTCTGGGGTGGGGCCCAGCGATCTGCATTGTCGACCAGCAGCTCAGGTGATGTGGATGCGGAAGAGCTGGGGGTTGAACTGGGAGAAACACAAGCTTAGGCCAGGTGACTACCACTCTAGCTTTAAAAAGATACCATACAGAACCTCAGTAAAAGACTGTGCTTTTAGTTTAAATTTCTTAGATAATATTATTAAGAAAAAAATCCTTTAATCCAGAATTGTGTGAGACAATGAATATGCATAGTCCCTTATTTGAACAAATCTAGTAGCCCAGCACATTAATAGGCAAATGAATGTCAATGGATGTAAAAAATAAATAGATGAATCATTGAATCGTTCACTTCACCCTGGCTTTTGAACCCAGAGTTAAACACTTCTCTATTTAAAGCTTTATAACTCTAAAAATTTACATGATGCTAAAAATTTCTTTTAAAACATACTATATGCCTATTAACTTTCAAGTTTCAAGAGTGGCCTTGAATTCTGTGACTAAAGATTAGAATCCGATGGAACAAAATGAGTTTTTAACACATTTTGCACAATCTGTACCACGAGTGGGGAAACTGTGAAGTTAACACATGTGTAAAACAACCCAAGAATGGAATTCTTTCCGAATAGTTCACTTTGAAAGATGTTCAACGTTTAACATGCATTTCAAGTTTCTTTGCCTTTCGCTGACATCGGTTTAAACCTTGTTAAACCCGAACTTTAACAACAGAACTGAAATGGTTTGGGTTTGACCTTTAGGCAGGTGAGCTATCAGGACAAGCATTATCCCGCTCTGCTGTCTGAAGGGCTTAGTACGATGACAGACCAGTGAATGAACACGGTGGAATCTGATGTACTGTTAATCACAGGAGAATGTGTTTTGATTGCCTTCTCTTCGCTCCATTGGTAAGGAAGGGATCCCATATTAGGGTTATGGGGGTGGCCAAACACATGACACTAGACACAGGTGGATGAGATGGAAGCAGTTTATGAGTCACACATATCCACAGCCCAGAGGAAGAGCATACTGCATGCCGTGTAGGGCCCCATGGGCTTGCACTTGGAACAGAGCAAACAACCAGGGACTGTGCCAGGGAGGCTTTGTAGTAGCAAGAGCGTTTGTAGTAGCGAGGCTCTGTGAGCGTTTTTGTGAGGACTGTATTTGCATGGCCTGGATGACTGTGTCGAATGAGTGTCTTCAGAGGAGGATATCGTCCATGTGATGTGATCCCACGATCCTGAGAATGTCGGATGCAGTTAGATCTTGCCTGCAAAGCTTGTGTGTGATGATGAGGCTCTTGAAGTGTCCCAGCCTTGTAAAGATTTATTGTGTCCCTTTGGAGATGAAGGCAGACTTCTACTGAGAGGCTGTTGGAATAGGCACCGAACAGAACATATTAACCAAATTTGTAATTGCAAAATATTTAGTAGTTGCTGAGTGGACGCAGTCAGTAATTTCAGTCATACTAGGCATTGAGCATGGGAGCCTTCAGGGATGGGACCACAGCAGCAAGGTTGCAGCAATCCACTGTGAAGCACCATTCATTTTTTTCGAAGTTTAAGAATAGGCCCAATTAGGCTGCTAAATGGAGAAGTAGTTGAGATAACCACCCCTTTGCTCATTAGGTCATTTTTTTTTTTTTGAGGTGGGGTCTCACTCTGTTGCCCAGGTTAGAGTGCAGAGGCATCATCGCAGCTCGCAGCAACCTCAAACTCCTGGGCTCAAGTGATCCTCCTGCCTCAGCCTCCCAAGTAGCTGGGAATACAGGTGCATGCCATCACACCAGACTAATTTTTTAATTTTTTTGTAGAGATGGGGTCTCACCCTTACTTGGGCTGGTTACAAACGCCTGGCCTCAACAATCCTCCTGCCGCAGCCTCCCAAAGTGCTAGGATTACAGGCGTGAACCACC